GGGGGGGGGGGAGGGATATGCAGGGAGAAAAGTGCAAAGTCTCTGTAAACTTTCATTAAAATTAATAAGAAATACAGAGTCCCTGTAAACTTCCATTAAAATAATAAAAAAGAAAAATTTTTAAAAATCCATAAAAAAAGGTTTAACATCTTAAAATAAATAAATAAATAAATAAAAAGAAACCCAAATAACTACTTAGTAAAAGAACTATCCATTTTTGAGTCAGCTTTTACTGGGATCAGATCAAAAACAAGGATGAGGTGAACTACTTGTACAAAGTCTAAGTGATATAAGACCAGTGAATTATTGTGATAAAAATATCAGACATACACGAATGAAGAACTAAAGCCACCCTAGTGATGTCTAGTATTCCAACTCAGAAACATATTTGAAAGTCTATTTTTTGAATAGTCAAACTCACTGCCATGAAGTCAAAGCCTTAGCTGACCCTCCAACTTTCGAATGTGCTAAATAAACAATAGGTTCAAGTCTATCAGAGATAATTAGGAAGGCGCAGAATAGGGCAGTTTGGATACTATGTTCTCAGGGTCATAAGTGACCCTCACAGCAAGTAACTTCATGGAACCTAGCAATAGTTACATTTATAGTTCTAAAAAACACATTATAAAATGAAGCTATAAAATAAAATGCAGTATTCAAATGGTACTTTGGTTTTTAAAGAAAATTTATAACAGGTATTTAGAAAACCATAATAATGAACCTTTTTAAAAATAAAATTTTATTTTAATTGTGATTTAAACAAACATTTAAAGAGAAATTAAGATTTTCATTCTTCATTGTTACACATTTTATCCCCTACCCCTACCCCCTACCCCAGTTCACTTTTTTAAAAAAATATTCATTGTTGAATATTAATAAATAAATAAACTTTTTAGCTACCACTTCATCCCTCAAAAGGAGAGGCAAGGGGGTTTTCAGAGGCAGTTAAATACCCATCCTTCTGGTAGCCTCGATCCATGTGCCTTTTGGATTACAGAGTAGTTTCCTGCCACGAGGCCACCAGAGCTCCTTTTAGAAAACCACAATAATAAATGTACTATTTGGATATCACCCCATCCCTCAAACAGAGATGTAAGGATGACAAATGAACTATATATACATGCACACAAATATATTTTTACTAAAAAAAAAAATAAATAAAATTATGATATGACGTATCTAGATATGTATTATCAAACTGTAGAAAGCACCACAGTCAAGAGGACAAAGAAGGGCCTTAATCCTGGCTTTGCCACCAATCACCACTCAAGGATGAAATGTCCTAGAAGAGCTCACTCAGTTTCTATGTATCTTCCATGTCTTCAACTCTTTCATACCCTGTTATTAAATGATAAGCAATGTGTATTACTCAGCAGTTTGTTAAGCTGATAAAACATAAGGTAAGCAAACACTTGTTTTAGTATCTCTTTATATTCTGGGAAATATTTATTCCTATCCAGGATTATCTAAAATATTTAGATTTAAAAAATTTTAAAAATTAAAGTCAACTCTGCAAAAATTATCAGACAATCTCATTCATATCACATGCAAGCAAAATATTATTCAAGTTCATCCAAAAAACACTAGGGCAGTACAGTGACAGAGAACTAACTACCAGAAGTCCCAGTTGAGTTTAGAAGAGACCAGGGATATCAATGTTGGTATCAGATCAATCTTGCCTAAAAGCAAAGAATAGTAGAAGAACATTTGCGCTTTATTAACTATGCAAAGGCAATTGACTTTATAGATCACAACAAACCATGGCTAATATTGAGAAGAATGGGAATCCCAGAGCATTTATTATGCTACACGAAATCCATGCCTAGACCAAGCTGTTGTCCAGAGCAAGGGAACACTGAATGGCTTAAAATCAAGAGAGGTGAACATCATCAGGGCAGTATGCTTTCTCCACACCTTTTCAATCTGTATGCTGAGCAAATCATTCAAGAAGCTGGACTCTATGAAGAAAAATGTGTAATCAGACTTGAAAGAAGATTCATTAACAACCTGCATTATGCAGATGATAAAACTTGCTTGAGGAATAGAAGGTGAATCTGAGGCATTAATTAGAAGATCGAGGACTACAGCCTTCAGTATGGATTACATCTCAACATCATGAAAACAAAAATCCTCACCTTTGGGGCCAGTAGTAAACATCATGATAGGTAAAAAGATTGGATAGCACTGTATAATTTGGAGGTCTTTTAAGTCCAGAAGAGCAATGATGGCTGTTTAAATATTACGGTGCATCTGATTCAAGCTGTGGTCCTTCCAATCACCTACTATACCTGAGATATGGAGAATGAATAAGGATGACAGAAGAACTTATGTCTTTGAGTATCTCATGAACTGCCAAAAGAAAAAACATATGTCTTAGAGAAAGTGCAATCAGAGGGCTCCTCATAGGCAAGGATGCACAGCTTTGTCTGATACACTTTGAATATGTTGCTATTTCTTGGGAATGGACATCATACTTGGAAAGGTAGAGGCTCAGCCAAAGAAGTCTTTCAACAAGATGGATTGACACAATGACTGCAACAATGGGCTCACCAAGAGTGTCAGGGATGATGAAGATGGCACAGGATATGACTAGGTTCTGATATGCTCTTCAAAGCGTCGCTATGGTTCTTATTAGAATACACAGTCTATGAGCAACAAAAACAAACATATCACATAAGTAGTTGTGCTACCAACTCAAAAACAGGTAGTTAAAGTCTACCACCTGCTTTGCAGGAGAAAGATAGACAATTTACGGTGTCTGAAAACCCGCCAGCGGGTCAGCTCAATCAGTTCTAAATCGATAGTAACGTACAACATCCCATATTTCTACACAGATAATAAACATCCCATATTTCTACACAGATAATAAACCAGTAAAACCAGCAAATGTGTAATAGTTTTTACTGCATAACAAAGACAGAGCAACAACCCAAGTGTCCATCAATAGATAAATGAGTTAAAAAAACTATAGTACATCTACAAAATGGAATAATACTATGCAACACTAAAAAAAATAATGAATTAACATGTAGGAACTGACACGGAAGCATCTAGAGGACATTGTGCCAAATTAAATAAGTCCGTTATTAAAATACTATTTTAAGACTCCTATTATAAAAAGCTAAGTAAAGGTTTACACTCAGAATCATTCTTGGATAGATACCTGATACAGGAAGGCAGGAAGAGGGTTGTAAAAATTGATAAACTGGGTGAAGGGAATAGAAATATAAATAAGCAACTGATCACAAAATGCAGACAATCAATTTGTTATAAAACAAAATGTTTATCAATAATTTAAGAACCATGATGAACTGTGAACTCTGACTTAAATAAAAAACCTGAAATCTAAGTTATTTTTGTTCAAAGAGAAAAGGTAACTGGAAATGAAGTTTCTGCTCTTTTAAAGAAATACAATAAAAAAAATAAGTACAATAAATACTTAACATCTGTGCTGTAAATTTACATGTAGCAGAGTGTCTGCATTACTGAGATTACACATTTTGCTTTTGGTGGAATACAAAATAACTCTCAAAAGAAACATTTTGCACTTAACATGTCAAGCATTACATGCAGTTCAAATCTAAAATTTTCATTCATCCAAGGTAGCTTTTTTGTTTGCTTTTTTTATCAAACACAAAAAGCTATAGGTCAGTTTCTATGTCTCTGTGATACAGGTGATCTGTTTTCCACTTTAAGTTTTTAACAGGATTCACAAGTCACAACACACAGACACAGATTCGACCCTCTGTTAGCTTGGCAAGTGTTTCTCAACGACGACATATTTTAACAAAGCTCCCAACACATAATGTGAATACATCAGAAAAAATACAACCTGAGTGATTCCAGGAAAAGGCTACCTACAATGCTGAAAAGTCAAAATAAAAGCTGGAAAAACTATGGCAATTATTGCTCTTAAGACCAATATTTCCAGGATTACCATCACCTGATTGGCTAAATGTCGCACGATTCAAGGTTCTAGTAATTATCAATTCTTTTTGCAAGCTTAGAAGAATCCTCCAATTAAACAAGTGAGCTGGGAATTCAAAACAGGAACTAGAAGCCTGGGAGAAGCAGGAGCAACCTGCTGCAGCTCAGCATTCCGGGGCACCGCCCACCCACGTGTATGTAATCACCTTTCACCGCCGCTTCCGGGGACCCGGAAACCAAGACCCGCGGCTAAGAAGCCGAGCAAGATTAATTCATTAGAAACCAGAGTGGTGACGCTGCCGGCGTGAGGGCCCCTGAACCCACCGTTACCCCCCTGACTGCCCTCCTTCACCCTCCCAGGACCTGCACCCTCCCAGAGCCTCCCTGACAGGGGCTGGATAGCACTGCCTCAAACAGTGTGCCGACTGGAAACTTAGGGGACCCCGGGACATCTCTCCTAAGGCTAGCCGAAAAGAGCCTGAAGGCTACTTCTCTTCGGCATTGCGAAGCCCATTTCCAAGGCTCGTGACGTATATTATAGGGCCAGAGAGGAAACGCAGTTTCACACTCACCCAGTGTGGGAGCCGGAGGTTCCACTGCAAATGCTGCCATCACGGTACCAAATAGACTTAGACCGGAACACTCCCGATTTTAAAAAATGGCGGAAACTCTCCTTACGGATAGGGCGCGGTACGTTTTGGAGAGGGTCACTTCCGGACATGCGCTCTGGTGTTATATGTTAGGCGTCAGTGCCGCCATTTTAGAACCGGGCAGACAACCTAGCACAGTCTCCACAGCGCCTAGGAGAGGCGGCCACAGGGGAGGTGAGGACTGTAGTCTAGGAATGCTTATGCTCAAACCTTCAGTGACCTAATTTGTTGGTACTCCATTTGCCTGCAGCACTATTTCGGGATGGGTGTGTCGGAGACGATGCGATTGGCACTGGACAGAGCAGAGTTTAGGGATGTTGTACATAGGGTCGCTATGAGTCCCAAGCGACTCGATGGCACATAACAACAACATTTCATTAATTAGTGTGATTATCAGAGATACGTTGCCTCTACTTTTCCCATTAACACCTGGAAAAGTTGGCTTGATGAAACTGCCTTTTCCCCCCTTGTATCTGGTTCAGAATATGCTAAAAGGCATTTTCTAGCATGTCTGTTTCCTTCTGGTTTTGTTCTTTTGTAACATCCTGTATTACATATTGCATTAAAGTTTGACTTGTGTGCTTTTATTGCCTATTAATACATCCAAAAGAATATAGGTAACACATATGTAAATATATGAGTCATAATTAAAATAAAGCTAATAATTCCCTTGACACCCCCCCACATACAAAGAAACTCTTAGTGTACATTAACTCACCTCTTATCATCCTCCTCCTCTGACTTCCATACTTTTGTCCTTAAAAAGTTTTTGTAAGCGTCCCCTGTCACTCTTTCTCGCTCACATGCATGTTTCACATGTCTTTAAAACTACTAACTACAGCTACATAGACTGGGGGAGGGCAGGGAGGGAAGGGGAAGGGGGCGGTGTCCCTTTTGTTGTTGTTGTTGTTGTTGTTATGTGGCATCGAGTCGCCTGCGACTCATAGCGACCCTATGTACAACAGCCCTAAACTCCGCTCTGTCCTGTGCCAATCGCACTGTCTCTGACACTCCCATGCCAATTATCCCAGTCACTGAATCAATCCACCTCATAGAGG